TATCCCAAACTCAGCCAGAGCCAGGGGATAAATGGGATTGGAGATGGACAAATCCAGACTGGGCAGGGTGTGAGCCCAGAGGTGACACCTGAGCTCTGGCTGTCCCCAAATCCTGCTGGCTCTGCTCTCCCCTGGGCCGTCTGCTCGGATTTGGGGGTGCTGAGCAGAAAGGAGCGACCCCAAAGCTTGGGGCTTTCAGATCCTCCTTTAAACACTGCTGCAACCCTCCCGGAGCCCCCAGCTCCCCCAGGAGCCGATCCATGTCCCCTGTCCCTCCCCAGGACAGAATGACCCCCCCGGCTCAGCCCAGCTTTGATTTGCCCATCGAACCCCTCCCAAATAAATCCCTGCTCCAGCCCTGCCCTGCCGGGCTCTGCAGCAGCCCAGGCTCTGTCACCTCCCCCAGCGCTGCTGTCACCACAGAGCTCGCTGGGGACACGAATCCCTGCAGCAATCCCCTGCAAAAACTGGGACAACTCCTGTAGCAATGTCCCAGCTCGTCCCCAATTCCCCCCCAATCTCCTGGGGCACCCGGAGAAAGCAGAGCCAGGGAATAAATGGGATTGGAGATGGACAAATCCAGACTGGCCAGGGCAGGGTGTGACCCCAGAGGTGACACCTGAGCTCTGGCTGTCCCCAAATCCTGCTGGCTCTGCTCTGACCTGCCCGCTTCAGGGCTCGCTTCCAGGAGTCAGGCGGAGATTTTATCCCCCCTGGAATCTTTTCCCTGCTGGAAAACCTTCCCTGATCCCATCCAGAGCATGGACAGCGACCCCAGAGCACGCAGAGCTCCCGGCCCCAGCACAAACCCTGCGCACCTCAGGGAAGTGTTTTACATCCCGGAGGGATTCATTAACTCTGAGCATTAATTGGGGTCAGTGGCTCTCTGCTGTGCCATCTGGGAACTCTTTGATCCCGGACATTTCTCTTTCCCCTGCCCCGCTCGGACTTTGCCCGCCGCGAGTTTTGGCCTGGCTGCTTTTTTTTGGGATAAAAGAACAAACCAAATAAAACCAACATAAAAGAACAAAAAATATAAAACCTGGCTTTAGGGTGAGGAAGGAGCTCCAGGGAGAGCTCAGCGGGTGCAGTTCCAACAATTCCATCCAGAAATGTCTTTCCAACGCTCGTGTGGGTGGGGTGGGCTGGGAAATGAGGACAGACATTGCCTGACCCTGCAGGGCCAGGGGGGACCTTGCTCATCCCACCCCACTGGGAGCACTGGGAGCACTGGGAGCACTGGGAGCACTGGGAGCACTGGGAGCACTGGGGGCACTGGGGGCACTGGGAGCACTGGGAGCTCTGGGGGTACTGGGAGCACTGGGAGCACTGGGGGCACTGGAGGCACTGGGAGCACTGGAGGCACTGGGAGCACTGGGGGCACTGGGAGCACTGGGAGCACTGGGAACACTGGGAGCACTGGAGGCACTGGGAGCACTGGAGGCACTGGGGGCACTGGGAGCACTGGGGGCACTGGGAACACTGGGGGCACTGGGGGCACTGGGAGCACTGGGAGCATTGGGGGTACTGGGAGCACTGGGAGCACTGGCAGCACTGGGAACGGGAATGGGTGAAGCAGCGGGTTTGTGTCTCCTGTATTGCCGGGGAGCTGTGCGTGTCCTGAAAGGGAATTTGGGACACTTGGATGCTCTTCCTGACTTTTTCCTTCCCTTTTTGGTGGGCGCTGAAGCCTTTTCTGCTCCCTCAGTCTCTGCCTGCTCTGGTGTCCCCTCCTCTGGTCACGTTTTGGGGTACAGCAGGGTCCAGATCCCTGCAGGAGGAGGTTTGGGGGTTCAGCACCGCTCAGGATCTGCCCAATCCCTTGGGAAGCGTTCCCTGCTCTCCTGACAGGGAATGGGTGGGTTTGGAGAGCACCCAGCCATCCCAAATCCCTGCAGGAGGAGGTTCGGGGGTTCAGCACCGCTCAGGATCTGCCCCATCCCTTGGGAAGCGTTCCCTGCTCTCCTGACAGGGAAACAAATGGATTTAGCAGCCACAGAGGGGCTGGGGGAGCCTCTCCCTGGGGACGCCGCTGCCTTTTTCCCTCCTCCCTTCGAGTCCCAGAGCTCCAGAAGCATCCCGGACCCCCCGTCCCAGCGCTGTGCCCGCTGTCCCCAGTGCCCCTCTGGCCCTGCTGGCTCCGGGCTGTGCCTGGCACGGGGCACGGAGGCTCCAGCCCCGGCCGCCTCCAGCGCCCTCCTCCCGCAGCGGCTCGGGAGGCGAAAGCTGCTCACGGAAGAACGCCGTGAAACGAGCGGCCACCGGCACAATTCCAGCTCCTGGCACGCTCCCGCTTTCCCAGGCTCCCGGGATGAGCGGCCGCTCCCAGCCCGGGAGCCGGGGCAGGATGCCGGGATGTGACTGGGAAAGCCGGGCCGAGGGAAGCCGGGGTGAAGGAGGAGATGAATAACTTCCCTGAAGGCTCGGCCCAGAGCGTGCCTCGGCCTGCCGGTGATTCAGCAGCTGATTTCACCCTCCCCTGCCCTCCTGGGACACGGACCTGCGGCCCGGCACCCGCCCCAAACAGCCCGGAGCCTTCAGGGAGGAGGGGACAGGGATGGGGAAAGCCGGGCTGAGCCCTGAAACCGCCCTGGGTGCTGGGAGAAAGGTGCTGGCAGCAGGGAGAGTGCCAGAAATCCTGCGGGAATGGCTGGAAGTGCCCCCCGTGCCCATCCCTCCCGGCATTCCAGCCGCTCCTCCTGGAGAGGAGAAGAGGAAAACCCCTCAGCTCGAGCCAGAGGAGGTTTAGGTTGGGTATCAGGGAAAGATTCTTCACTGGAAGGATGGTCAAGCCTTGGATCGGATTGCCCAGGGCAGTGGTGCAATCCCCACCCCTGAGAGCGCTGCAGAACCGTGGATGTGACATTTGGGGACGCGCTCTGGTGCTCTGGCTGGCCCCGCAGTGCTGGGATCACGGGGGGAGCGGTGAATTTATTCTCCAGCTTCGGTGATTCCGTGGTTCTGTGCTCTCCCTGCTTTAACCCCGAGCTCCTGGGGCCGAAAGGAGCAGGAGCAGCTCCAGGGAATTTTGTGCTCTCCAAATGGTTCCCACCGGCCGTGGAGCTGCCCCGGGCGGGGCTGGGGACAGAGGGGACCAGGGCCACCCCCAGGACACGGCAGCGGGTCCTGGGGCCAGAGGTGGCTGCTCAGGTTTTGGGGAGCGGCCGGAGCCGGGGCTGAGCGGTGAAATTGGGAGGCAGCTCCTTGCAGGGTGAGGGATGTGAGGGATCTCTGCAGCAGCAGAGCTGTCCCGTGTGTGATTCCGTGATCCGGAATTTGGGATTCCCGACACGAGCTGCTCTGCCCAAAACCTCGCCTGGCTTTCCCCCGGCTTCAAAACGTTCCGAGGGCTGTGTCCAGCTGGAGATGAGGCTCGCTCCCGTTGCATGGGCTGCAATCCCTGCAGCTGTCAGTCAGAGCTGTTGTCAGGCAGAGCTGTCACGCCGGGCAGGCGGGGGGTGATTGACAGCCCGGTTTGTTATCTCCGAACGTGTCATCCCAGCCCAGCCTGACAGCGCGGCCGTGGGAGACTTCCAGCATCCATTTATTATGAGCTGGCTGCAGCAAATCCTTCCCCGGCTCATCCCAGCCCTTCCTGAGCATCCCTGCCCGGCTGAGAGATGGGATCTGACAGGGCCAGGGGGTGGAGGGGGGTGGGAGTTGGGTCTGAGGAATCCTGGAGGGTCAGCGAATGGAAACAGGGAATTTCCACCCCTCTCCCAACTCCTCGGAGGGGGTTTGAGGCAGGAAGTAAAGAATGGGAGGAAAATCAATGATCCAGCTCAGGATATGCCAGGATTCCATGGCTCTGAGAGCAGAGCTTCACCAAGGATTTTACCAGCAATGGGAAGGAGGAAAAACAATGGGAAAGAAAGAGGAAAATATGGGGGAAAAGGGGAAAAAAGCAGCGGGGAAAACAGGAATAAAAACAATTGGAAAGGAAGAGGAAAAACAATGGGAAAGAACGAGGAAAAGATAGGAAAGAAGGGGGAAAAGCAATGGGGAAAAAGGAATAAAAACAATGGGAAAGAAGGAGGAAAAACAATGGGAAATAACAAGGAAAAGGTGGGAAAAAAGGGAAAAATCAATGGGGGAAAAGGAAGAAAAGCAATGGGAAAGAAGGAGGAAAAACAATGGGAAAGAAAGAGAAAAAGATGGGAAAAAAGGGGAAAAAGCAATGGGGGAAAAAGGAATCAAAACAATGGGAAAGAAGGAGGAAAAGCAAAGGGAGAAAAAGAAGGAAGAAGGAGGAAAAGCAAAGGGAGAAAAAGAAGGAAAGCAATGGGAATGAAGGAAGAAAAAATGGGAAAGAAAGAGGGAAAGCAATGAGAGAAAAGGAAGAAAAACAATGGGAAAGAAGGAGGAAAAGGTGGGAAAGAAGGGAAAAAAAACCAATGGGGAAAAAGGAAGAAAAGCAATGGGAAAGGAGGAAAAACAATGGGAAAGAGAGAGGAAAAGATGGGAGAGAGGAAAAGATGGGAAAGAGAGAGGAAAAGATGGGAAAAAGGAAGGAAAAGCTCCCAGAGGATGTTTCTGTGTCTCTCAGTCGTGCACTGACCTTGTCCTTGCAGGGCAGTTCCCCCTGCTGCAGCCCGGGGCTCTCCAGGATGCTCCCAGGTCACCTTGGCGGTGCCAGCAGCCCGGCCAGCCCAGCCTCGGGGACACTTCGCCCTTTCCCATCCCCTGGAGCCGCTCCAAGGCAGCCCAACCTCCCCCTGCTCCCGGCCAGGTCGCTGCCCTTTGGTCCCCACTAAAAATACCCTGCGGTGGATGTGTCTGAGCGTGTTTGGAGGTTAAATAAAGCTCTCCGTGGCCTCTCCCTGCACTGGGAGCTTCCCAAAAAAACACACGGAGCTTGCCGTGCTCGGCAAAGACAGAAAAATAATTCCCAGCCGGATTTAGAGAGGGAAAAGCTGCTCCAAGAAGCAAAAATGGGCTAAAAAATTCCTGCTGATTTCTCTGGGTGTCTTGGGTGTCGCCAGGAGCGCCCAGCACTGCCTTTGCTCAGCACCTGGATTTGTTCCACCTTCTCCTGTCTTTGCTCCCGGATCCTGGGAGGGTAAAAGGGGATCCCACAGACCCCGGGAGCTCAGTTTACCCCACATCCCACAACAGGGGGGACAGCGGGAGCAGCGAGGGGAGATGGAACGGGAGCAGGAAGGGTGGAAAACGCCCATATTCCAATTAAATCAGCGTCCCCGTGGCTTTATTCCATTGCTCCGTGAAAAATCCTGGGGTCACACATCCCACTGGGCTTTGGTTTAGGATTCCCAGAGAGAAAGTGAGGTTCTGGGATCATTTTTTGGCCTCCTCCCATGCAAGGGGACAGGTTTTAAACCAAGCCAAGGTCACGATCTGAGCCTCCCTCTCCCAGCTGATCCTGCTTTGTCTTCCCAGAGAAAACCTGGGAGCTGTCCCTGGGTGACTTCCCTTCAGGTTTGGGGTCTCTGGACATGGAAACAGCTTTCAGGAGCAAACACAAGCCAGAGGCTGCTGCCAGAACCCGAGTTCAATTCAGCTCCTGCTGCTGCCGATTGATTTTGGTGTCTGGGGGAAGTTTTGTCTTCTCCCCATCCCAGCCCCTGCGCTCCCGAAGGATCCGGGGAATCCCAGCACAGCCCCTGAGCTCAGGATTTGTTGCTGGTTTAACACCCAAACGCTGCCAAGAAACACTTGGGCTGCTCGGAGCTGCCTTGGCTGAGCCTCCGCGGATCCTCGGGGCTCGGCTCCATCTGCTCCGCTCTATTTCTGTGCCTCGGCCTTGGATCTCGCTCTCCTTTGGAAACCAGGCTGTTTACAAATATTTGCCTGGGAGAAGTTCTGCTGCTCCAGCAGGGAGGAGGAAAAACCTCTCAGCTCTGCACGGGCAGCAGCTGGATCCAGCTGTGAGGGGGAAATGATCCAGATGTGGGCGATGGGTGCCCGTGGCAGGGGCCTGGAACAGGATCATCCTCCCAGTTCTGCCATTCCAGCATCTCCCAAGTAGCCAGAAAGACCCAATTTGCCCAAAAAGAGAAGAAAAAAAATAAGGATTTATCACCCCAGAGCTGCCTGCTGGTAAATCAGGGAATAAAATGAATGGAGAGGCAGAGGTGAGGTGGATGCAGGGAGGAATAATTTCATTTATGGATCTTTTTCGTAGGAACAGCAGAGTAGGGATGGGGAGAAGCTCCCTTTGGAATATATTCCATGTTCACATATTCTGCATTTAAATTCCCACATCCTCCTCAGACTGTTCCATGATGTCTCTGACGTGAGATGAGGACGTGAAGCAGGCGGCTCCCTCCCAAATCAGGATATTCCCGGATTCCAGGATTCCAACTACAACATTTGAGGAGCGTTCAGGAGTTTTGCCATTCCCCCCCAGTTTGTGGCCGCTCTGGGGAGATGCTCCCAGCAAAAAGCTGGTGAGGGTCTGAATTCCTAAAAAACCAAGCTGGGAACAGACTCTGATGGCTTTAAAACCTCAAAGCCTGATGGAAGGCTGACACTTTTAATGCTGCTGTTCGGTTTAAAGTCGATTTTTAGGGTAAAACTCATCCTTTTTTAAAGCCCTGGCAGCTTTGGCAGAGCCAGCCTGGGGCTGATGCTGAGCCACCTCCCCAGGAAAATCTGGAATTTGAACCTCACTTCACGGCTGTTGCCTTCAGCTTTTGGGAAAGGGTTTTTTTTGGGGAACACCCCCGTTCCAGCCAGCATTCCCAAGCTCTGGGAGGTTCCCAAATCGCTTGTGCAGCTCTGCAATGTGCTCGTGTTGCACTTTTAATCCATCTGTGGATGTTGGAAATGCAGGTGCTGGCCCCAGGCCCCGGCAGAGAGTAATTAATAGAATATTAAATAGGAATAATTCTGTTCTTGGTGGGGGAAGGAACATCCTGTGCTGCTCCCAGGGGCTGGAGCAGGGACGGAGGGTCCCGTTCCTCGGAAACACCAACTCCAGGCAGAGCAGCTGGACAAGGAGGAGCTCTCAGAGCTCTCAGAGCTCTCACTGGGGGGCTGTGCCCTCTGTGTCCCAGCAGAGCCGGGATTCCTCCGGCTCTGGGAGCGATGGAAAACCAAAAATCCCTGCCTTGAACAGCTCGGGGTAACCTCGTCATAACCTCCCGGAGAAACGGCACAGCTGGAGGAAGGAATTTGTTATCCACACGGAACATCTGTCCTCGGCCACGGGGACGGCCGCCCTTCCTCCCCACCCCCAGCATCCACCTGCCGGATTCCATGTTTTATTTCCCTTCCCTGGCGGTGGAAAGCTCACCTGAGCCGGCTGGGTGGCGCTGGGTTGGGTTTCCCTGCTGGATTGGCTGCTCCCATGGAATGGGAGAGGGAGATAGAGCAGGAATTTGGCTTTGAAAGGGCCGCATTCCGGCCCTGCCTGAGAGGGGCTAAATGGGAAGATCTGATTAAGCGTCTCAGTGCGGTGACCCTGACCTCAAAGAACGCGCCGAGGCTCGGGAGGAACTTCATTTCAATTAATCAGCTTAACAGCCCGAGTGGAGCTGCCCGCGTCCATTGAGCCGGGCTCCCGCTCCTCCTCCTCCTCCTCCTCCTCCTCCTCCTCCTCCTCCT